CTTCCTCCCTCCCTTCCCTCCCTTCCTTCCTCCCTCCCTCCCTCCCTCCCTCCCTCCCTTCCTTCCTGATACTGAGGGTTGAATTCAGTCTCATGCTTCCAGGCAAGTGCTCTGTGATTTCAGCCACATCCCCAGTCTGCCTTCCTGTTGTCATTGTTCATACAGGGTCTTGTAGCAGCTTTCCCCTGGCTCATCTGGAATCCAGTGACCTACCTCTACTTTCCCCATAGCTGGGGCCACAGGCACATGCCGCCATGCCTAGCCAGCCTGTTCTTTTAAGAACCTTCGTCCACCTGGGCCTTCTTGCCTTTCTAGTTACCTATGAACTGCTCAGAATAGTCATTCTGCTATTTTTCAGAAATCTTTTTGGTTTTTTCCTTTTTGCTTTTGATTATTATTCCTTTTTCAGAAAGTTTAGTTTTCTAAACTTGGAAAAATTGTGCTTTTTCCAGATAGGCTTCTTGCATTCATTTTGCCACTTTTTTATTCTTATTTAAATTGTGATTTAACACTTAACTTAAATTGAGATTTTTGTGTCATTTCTTCTCAGGTGCTTTGATCATTTTCTTATATTTGTTTATAATACAAAGCCAGCTCATTTCTGGAAATCAGTTATTTTTCATGTCAAATGTGTTCACGTTTCACATTCTCCATATTAAGTCTTTGAGAAAAGGATTTTTATTTGTGGATATCTTTTAGAAATAACTAGTGTTATCTTTGTTAAGGAGGTAAGAGGAAGTATGATTGAATTGTGATTGAATACAATCATACTGCATTTTATGACTATATGGGAACATCACAATAAAACCCCTCTGTACAAATAAGATATAGCAATAAAAATTAAAAACACAACCTTACACATGGTATGACATGATACCCTTAACGTGTGGTTGGATTGTTTCGTCCACGTACAGTTTTGTGGCTCCAGTGGGCCTGTGAAGGTTTCAGGGAACCTTGTCTTTACCCAGTGTCTCAGGTCACATGAAATACAAAAGGCTTTAAATTAGGCCTTAGGGTTCCAATTCAGAAGACTCACAGGCTTGTGGGTTCTTTTTCTCATCCTGCCTCTTCGGTGTCTCCCAGCCCTCAGCCCTCTCCCTTTTCACAGCTGCCTTTGCCCAGTCGTGGCTTCCAGACTACTGCAGTAGCCTCCAGATTGCTCCCTTACCTCCCAGCCTCATCTTGCTTTGTCCTACTCTCCAAGAGCTCTAAAATGAACGGTTCGTAGCTGCAGCACCTTTTCTGTCTTTCCCAAGTGCAGTGGGCACACGAGGCACCTCAGGCCTCTTTTACGAGGTACCTGCTCAGCTGTAGGGCTCTGCAGTTCTGGTCTGAGTCCCTCCCTTCGGCCCACCCCCCACAGCATCCCATTCAAAGGTGGCTGAGGACAGTGCTGCCGCCTGTCCCTGCCACTTCCCATCTCCTGAGCCAGTCTGTCAGACTGGGAATCACAAAACTTCTTTCACCTTGCTCTACAAATTAAGGCCTTCCTGTTTTTAAACTTCTTTCTCTTTTGCAGAGTTCTTTGAAAACCTCCTCATGAAGAGTGTTTTAATTAGTTGTTCTGGCACGTCTCTTACTTTGAGCTTAGCCTACCTCCTTTTTCTTCTCCTCAATAGTTCTAGTTAGTACATTTGTTGTTACAAGGCAAAATTCTTCATATTCTGGTATTACTGCCCCTTGAGTGATTTCTCTTCCCTCCCTAGACAAGTTTGTACTGCATATTTTGAATTTGTACTTTTTCTGATCTTTATTTTCTGACTGTAGGAGCCAGTTCTTGGCATCTTTTGCATTTTCAGTTTCCTTATTCTACCATTTACTGAAAATAGGCTTTTTTTAAAAAAATTCAATGCCTCCTCTTTAAATCGTCACACCTACACTGTCCAACCTCTTTAAGTCTCAGTAGTAATTTTTTTCCAAATCACATTAGGCCTCCATTGTCTCATTGTGGCTCCATACTAGGCAAGTGGTCTGCAAATTTCTATTTTTTGGTAACAGGCCCCTTAAACAATCTTGCCCGTAGCACAGGAATGCACCGCACTGTTGAGAGCGGAACAGAGCTGGGAGGTCTTTCTCAGGATCCCTCGGCCTTCCCCTGCAGTCTTCTCTTCAGCTCAGCTCCACATACCAGATGATCACACTCCACTGGATGCTGCACTCATCCACTTCCATTCACCCACACTCAGGACACCTTACTCACTTGCAGGCTTGCTCCAATTGGAACAAAATTCAGAATTCACACTGTATCTGGAGACACGTCAGTTATCTACCTTCTGCCTTCTTTGATGACTTCCTCTTGTACTTTTCTGTCTGTGGACCCTGCCAGTTTAACTGTTAAGTCCTCATGTTCTTTGCATTGTTTGGTTACATTCTCTCCCTGTAATTTTTTTAAGTTAAAAACATCATTCAGGCCTTAGCTCATGTCTCCTTTTTATGACGGACTATCTCTGTCCTATTGCTCTATATCACTTTCTCCAAGGCCTTATCTGTTCCTGAACTTGCTGCTCATGTCTCCTTTTTATGACGGACTATCTCTGTCCTATTGCTCTATATCACTTTCTCCAAGGCCTTATCTGTTCCTCTTGCTGCTCATGTCTCCTTTTTATGACGGACTATCTCTGTCCTATTGCTCTATATCACTTTCTCCAAGGCCTTATCTGTTCCTGAACTTGCTGCCCTCCCTCCACTAGAAGCTCCACTTTTCAGGGCTGGTGGTTTCCCCTGGCTTACCAGTACACCCCCTAGAGTGTGAAGGACTTAGTGTACAGTCCAGGTAGTAGATGTTCTGTAGACGTGTCTACAGAGGTTCTGTAGTGCTCAGTTCAGTTCAGGTAGGTAGGTAGATATTCCACAGACATGCATATAGTGGTTCCTGTGGCATCCAGCTCAGTTCAGATAGGTAGGTGTTCCATAGACACACATACATTATTGAATGATAAAGGTATTAATAGTTACTTTCAGGTTCATTTTCTTAGGCCAATTAGCAATATTTTTCTGAAGAAATTATAAACCATATTTTACTCACTACACTTAAACTCTTATTAGGTGATTTATAAGGTTGACTAAATTCTTCATGCAGTTATTTGAACAACACTGCTTTATCTGTGCATTAAAGATAATTTATCCACAGTATGAATAATTTCCACTTTGTCCCCTTCCTCATCAGCTGTGTTTTTCTTCTTGCTTTTACAGACATTTTGTTAGAAATAGAAGAATCTTAGCTGGGTGCTGGTGGCTCAAGCCTGTAATCCTAGCTACTCAGGAGGCTGAGATCTGAGGATTGAGGTTAGAACCCAGCCTGGGCAGGAAAGTCCATGAGGCTCTTCTCTCTAATAAACCACTTAGAAAAAGCCAGAAATAGTGCTGTGGGTCAAGTGGTAGAGCGCCAGCCTCCAGCAAAAAAGGTCAGGGCCAGTGCCCCAGCCTTGCGTTCAAGCCCCAGGACCAGAAGAAACAAACAAACAAAAAATAGAGGAATCTTTAATGTCTTTTATATTTCAGACTCATTTTTAGATATATGAGTAGTGATTTTTTTAAATTTTTACATCATTAATTTATCTTCTCTTTAGGCAATCCAAGTCAAATCTGAGAGTTGCAGCAGCAAAAGTGGAAGAGCTGACTGCAGCGACAGAGCAGCTGCAGGGTCAGATGCACAGAAAGGTATCTGTAGGCTTACGACGAGCCAGCGGGGCTTCCCACTCCACACCGTGCACTGCTAGCTGACTGGGCATTAGAAATTAAGGCGACATTAGAAAATAATTATTTTTCCCTGAACATAAACTGTGAAAGTAGGAACGCAATTATAATATTGAAAATACCTTTATGAAGAATCTTTCTTTGGATTCAGTTTAGCCTAACTAAAGAAAACCTCAGACATTCTAATATTATTAAATAATAATATTACATATTACTATCAATAATCAATATTATCATTATTAAAATACATATATGAAGCTGGGCACCAGTGGCTCATGCCTATAATCCTAGCTACTCGGGAGGCTGAGATCTGAGGATCACGGTTCAAAGCCAGCCCGGGCAGGAAAGTTTGTGAAACTCTTATCTTCAATAAACCACCAGAAAACCGGAAGTGGCACTGTAGCTCAAGTGGTAGAGCGCTAGTCTTGAGTTGAAGAGCTGAGGGACAGCGCCCAGGCCCAGAGTTCAGGCCCCACGACCAACAAAAAAAATAAATAGTTTTATATATATAATTTTTTGAACTCTGAAAGGTACTCCAAAATAGTTGGAAGTAAAAGGGAGGAGCTCTTAATTGAGGAGGTATTGTTTATTTTTTTAATTTGTTTTCATTATCTTAAGTAAATGTACAAAGAAGTTTCGATTTAACATGTCACTCTATGGGTATAATGCATCCTAATCAGTGTCGCCCCTTTTGTCTTCTTCTCTCTTCTCACCTACCCGTCCCCTCAAGAACTTAGGCCCATTTCCACATATGTATATTGAATATTATGCCTGTATTCACCCACCCTTCCTCTTACACTCATCTGCTTTCAATTTGTAGTTTTTGCATTTCTGACTTGTTGATCTTAACTGTAGATCTCTGTAGCTGTGGCTGTAGAAAGCAGTTTCTATATGATTAGATCACACAATACTAAAATTGAGGGTCATACAAAGGGTTAGAATTTTAAAGAGGAGAAATATTGCCAACAGGACACATACACACACAAATTAATCTGAACTTCTGATTATTTCTTACAAATCCATGCCTAATTGAAGCTTATGGGTATAATTAATTGGAAGCCCAATATAGAAACAGGCAGAGATTGAGAGAAACCTGCTGTGGAAAGATAGAAAATCAAACTAGATGTTTGAGTTTTTACAACTGAGCACATTCTAGAAATGTGTGCAAAGTTAGCCAAAAATAATAATAATAATAATAATGATGATGAAGCTTCATTATTGGAATGTCAGAGGGCAAACTCCAAGCTAGAAGTATAGCAGCAGGGAAATCCCAGAGTGAAGCCTCCGCTGTGCCCAGCTCTGGATGCTCTCAAGTCCTACAGGCATAGGCATCCCCGGAGAGCCGGCTGCGTGGGGGGGGTGTGAGTGAAAGGCAGCAGGCAGGAGTTGTGTAGGCGTAGGTCAGCTGCTGTACACTGCAGAGGAGCCAACGCAAGAGCACCACCAGCAGAAGAGCTGCAGTGCTCAAAAAGCAAAACTGAGTCCAAAGTAACGGTAGTGGATTCTCTTCAATGCCAAAGCTTAGTAGATGGGAAATTATGCTCTCCCCTTGGGGACAGGATTGATGGACACCATCAACAGAAACCAGTGCCAAGAGGGTCCTCTTGTAGGATTTAGCATGCTTCAAACAGGTCATTATAAATATGTTCAAGGGATTTTTTTTAATTCAGATTAGCATAAGTTCTCAAGAAGGAAAAGATAGATAATTTTGATGAAACTAGAAAATCTTTAAAGTAGAAAATGTTTAAAAATAAAAACAGAGCTTAGCCAGGCATCAGTGGCTCACACCTGTCATCCTGGCTACTCAGGAGGCTGAGGATCTTGGAGATCTGAGGATCTTGGTTCAAAGCCAGCCTGGGCAGAAAGGTCTATAAGACTCTTATCTCCAATAAACCACCAGAAAACCGGAAGTGGTGCTGTGGCTCAAGTGGTAGAGAGCTAACCTTGAGCTGAAGAGCTGAGGGACAGCGCCCAGGCCCAGAGTTCAGGCCCCACGACTGTTAAAAAAATAAAAATAAGCAAAACTAGAACTTAAAAGAACAACTGGAATTTTATTGGATAGACAATAGATTGAACAAGAAAGAATAGTGAACTTGAAGATACAACAGTAGAAATTTCCAGTAAGAAACATAGTTTGAAATGTTGAAATCTAAGGGACAATGTGAACTAGTCCAGTATAAGTAGAATTGAAATTGCATAGGATGGCACTGCGGAATCAAGAATGTCTGAAGAAACGATGACTGAAAATTGCTGAATTTTATGGGGAGAACATTAACAGGTCTACGAATTGCAGTGGTAGATTTAAGTAATATAAACACAGAGCCACTTCTAGGCACATCATGATACACTGACAATCAATTTTAAAGAAGAAAGTTGAAAATATAATAGCACAATGACCTGAACCTGGAAACAATGAAATGAATGGCTGAGTTCTTATGAAGGAACCCTGTGGAAGCAGAAAACATTGGAATAAGACGTCCCAAGTGTTGAAAGAAGAAAGCTAACAAAGAATCTTATATTTGGTTAAACTATTCTTAAAAATTAAGGCCACAAAGAATGAAAGAAAGAGAGAGAGAGAGAGAAAGAAAATTGCCAGTTTCCACGCATTGGTAGCTGTAACCCTAGCTGCTGAGTGGGCTGGGATATGAGGACCATGGTTTAAAGCCAGCCCAGACAGAAAAGCCATGAGATTTATTTACAAGTTGACACCAAAAAAAGCTGGAAGTAGATGTGTGGCTCAAGTGGTAAAGCACCAGCCTTGAGCAGAAAAATCTAAGGACAATGCCCTGGCCTTGAGTTCAAGCACCAGGAGCTGCACAAAAGTAAAAAGAAACAAAAAGGAAAAGGGGGAGGGGAGAAGAGAGAGGAAGTGTAGGCAAACTAAAGATTTCCAAATAAAATTTGTCTCTAGCAGATGTACATTTCAGCAAACTCTGACAGGAAGTATGTAAAGTTCTGCTTAGAACTTAAAAGTATTCGTTGGATTTGTAAAGTGATAGCAATAGCACTAAAAAAAGTATATGGAAACATGCTGTTGCAAGGTTCCAATGTGCTATGAGTTAATATTAACTATTAAATAGGAGTAAGTTACAGAATGTGTTGTCCATAGCTCACTAAATTAATTCAGAGAGATGCTGTTAAAAAGCAATAGGAGAAATTAATAAAAGATAAATTAACACAAAAGAAAACACAGAAGACAGATAAAATTTTTTCTAGAAAGGCAATTCAAATAAAATCTATTAATGTTTCAAAGCATCAATACATCACATGAAACACCCTGACCCTGTGATTACTTTGGTAATGAGAAATAGTGTAACACTACTAAGAGAGCATGTTTTGTTCATTTCTCTCTTTCGCTTCTTCCTTCCTCCATCTCTTGCGGCCCCACAGTTTGCTTTCCCCTCAATAAACTCTTTAAAAAAAAAAAAAAAAGCATGTTCTAAAAGTAGACTGGATAGAATTCTCTGCTTTGTTAGACTTGCACTAGAAATAATTTGAAATGTTCTGGAAATCTTCGTAATATAGCTATTTTGAATGTCCAATTTGCTAGTGATGGTGAAGGTCTCTTCTCCTGTTCATTATGTGTGTCTTGTTCTCAAGTTTGTGCAGCTTCTCTGCGCATATGTTTTAGAATTCTAGCAGCATTCCCTTCTAGTATGACTGCCCTTTAGTTCTGTGGAATTGAGTATTAAATCTTCACATACTTCAAAAATAGAAAATAGTTCCTATTTTCTTTGTTTTCTAGGAGGAGGATATGGTATCTGCCCGAGAAAGAGAGGAAGCATCAGAAAGATTCTCACAGCAACTACAATCTAACATTAAAATACTAGAATCTAAGTAAGTTGGTGGATACTTCTACCTTGATCTGTATTCTTTACAATATATAAGGTCATACCCATCAGACTGGGGAAAGATTTGTTGATATTTGTTTGATGCTGAATGAGGAAAGTACAGAAGATCATTTTAATTTTTGTAACTCCTTAAATTCATGTTTAAAAAACTGTGGATAAGCTGGTGATTCATGCCTGTATTCCTAGCTGCTGAGCAGGTTGGTATCTTGAGGATTGTATTTTAAACCAGCTGTGCAGAAAAGTCTTGAGAGCCTTCATCTCCAGAATAGTTGGGAATTGAGTCAAGTGGTCAGACACCAGCCAAGCAAGCACAAGCCCCTGAATTCAAACTCTAGCACTGCCAAGAAGAATTATGGACAGATGTTATATGTGTGCATGTGTGTGCGTGTCTATAATTATATGAGCATGGACAAAAATATTCAAACATGCATTAAGGATTTAGGATGGCCTACCTGGCAGGTAGGAAAAGGCATCCAACAAGAAAGAAATCATAATAAAAAGCCATATCATGCAAAACAAGCTCCCAAGTTTTGCTTAATAATACTGTCTTGCATAATTAACATCAGAACATCTAGGCCTAGCCTCATATCCCCTTCTCTTTTTTTAAATCAAATACATGTATGTTTTCTAAAATGGATATGACAAAAGTACTTTGCAGAAGTATAGCAAGATCAAAGGAGAAAGCACATGTAAAACTTAGTGGTGTAATACCATTAGTGCATCCCTTTCTCCTTCCCTGGACTTTCACAGTATGATTGTTTCTAGGTTTTCTGTCACATCCCAAGAAGCCAAGGAACTAAAAGCAGAAAAGGCACATCTGGAAAGAGTGGCTAGAGAGCTGCAAGCAAGGTGCAGTGCACTGGAGAAAGAGAACTATGCAGCTGCGGCAAGAGTCAGAGACAGCATGAAACTCTTAGACGAGGCTAACCTTAAAAGAGACCAGGTGAGGCTGGTGAGCATCTTTACAGATCGCACGCTGGATCAGGTGAGGCTGGTGAGCGTCTGTACAGATCGCACGCTGGATCAGGTGAGGCTGGTGAGCGTCTTTACAGATCGCACGCTGGATCAGGTGAGGCTGGTGAGCGTCTTTACAGATCGCACGCTGGATCAGGTGAGGCTGGTGAGCGTCTGTACAGATCGCACGCTGGATCAGGTGAGGCTGGTGAGCGTCTGTACAGATCGCACGCTGGATCAGGTGAGGCTGGTGAGCGTCTTTACAGATAGCATGCTGGATCAGGTGAGGCTGGTGAGCGTCTTTACAGATATCACGCTGGCTTCTTCCACACAGTCCTGAAGGGAATCGATGCCGAAAGCAAATTGCTACCTTCTCGATTGAATAAGCATTGTGTATTTGTAGGTGATATGACTTAATGACATAAGCTAAAATGTCAGTCCTTTGAAGCATACCCTAAAGGTAGACTGTATAGAATTTTCTGCTTTGTTAGACTTGCGCTAGGAATAGTTATTTGGCATATTTATGAAATGGTTGAATGATTCAGTCAGTCATTTTTGTGTCCTGTGACATAACATAGGGCCTACATGCTGTTCCTGAGCTTTTTTGCTCAAAGTTGGCATTCTGCCACTTTTGCCACAGCTCTACTTCTGGCTTTTTGTAGTTTATTGAAGAGAAAAGTTTCACAGACTTTACTTCTCAGATCTTAGCCTTCTGAGTAGCTAGGATTACAGGATATAGCCTGGATACAGCCCCTTGTCTTGCTGAAAACTAGTATTTAAATGTCAGACCTATGTCCCTGATCTCATGACCTAGACTTGTTAGAAGTCTGTTACAAAATGTTACCACAGCATACAAGGTGTGCCTTTTACTCATCTTTATTTTGTCTTCATCACCTACATGGTTACTGTAATAAAATACAAGCTTAACTGACAGTTGAGTTTAACTTGGAAAATTTGTTATTTGCTATTCCATATTGTACTTTTGTGAATAGTATATAGCTTATAGAAGACAGAGTAGATTTGTTTTTTAATGTCACTGACTGTTTATGTGGAACTCACTGAATCCTTATTTACCAACATATACTGAATACTTTGCAGAACACTAGGAAAAATGAAAGTTACAATGGAAATGCCTTGTTTTCTTTTTTACATTGTAGAGGATTCTAAGAAAATGACTGAAAACAGGACATGCATTGAGTCAGATAGTTCAAAGCTGATAAAGAAAAAAGTAAAAACTAGGCATGGTGGTGCACGCCTCTAATCCCGAGACTCATGAGGCTGATGTCATCCTGGGCTACGTAGAAAGACCCGTCTTTAAAAGAGAGAAGAGGGAGGATAGTAATTTGAACAGTGTCAAATAGTATTTTAAAAAAGAGAAAGAGATACAGGATATTTTCCCACTATAGTACCTAGATACAACTTTGTACAATGACTTGAAAGAGCAGATTATTTCACAAGTGATTCCAAGGTTTTCATGGTAGAGATTAGAAGAAAAATGGAAACACTGGTTGAAACACATGTCAAAGAACATGAATACATTTTTAAATGAAACAAAGGTAAATAAGGTTAGGAGAAATAAATACTATTCGTGATTTATGCAATATTTTACCTTCTAGAAACTCAAATGTTCACTCATTTTACAGATACTCACTTTACAGAAAGCAGGTAGGGTTTTGACCTGTTGGCTTTGCAAATAATAGTATAACCTCTGATTCTGAAGGCTCTGCTCAAGGACAAACGAAAAGAAGAAGAGATAGAGAAAATGAAAAAAACAATTTGTCAGCTGATACAAGATGGTGACTTACAGTCCAAGAAAGACGTAAGGGTTTTGTTTTTCTTTCTGTTTTTGTTTCTGGTCAGTCTGAGGGCTTACACTCAGGGCCTGTGGTGGCTAATTGGAGATGAGTCTCATGGACTTTCCTGCTGACTTTGACCCATAATCCTCAGATCTCAGCTAGGATTACAGGTGTGAGCTACCAGTACCCAGCTCATAATGGGTTTTACTTATAGTACAAAGTTAAAGCGTAGTCCCAACTAAAGAATGAATACTAAAGAAATACTTTAAATACTTTAAAATATTTGTGTATATATTCACAAAGACTGGAAAATTATTAATGAAAATGGTGAAAAGCTAATGTTTCTTTCCTTTAAAATGAACTCTGTAGGACAGTGAATATGCTGTGTGTAGTTTTTCACTGGACGGTAGTTTTTTTTCATACCTGTAATTTTTCATTCCTACATTTTCTAAGTAGACTAAAATCTAAGAGTGTTTTTCAGTAATGACAGTTTAATTCAATGAAGTTAATCTGTTTGCTTTCTCCTACACAGCTCACTGGTAGAGATTTTATTGTTAAAAAACTACTGCTTTATGTTTTGTAAAAAGAAAAATATATGTTTCTGCCCAGAGAGGTATTTCTTAGAAAGTATCACAACCATTGGCCACAAATGGCATTTTAGCAAAAGGAGATTGTATAGCAGTGGTCTTACAAGATTGCATTGGGGCTGGAAGTTTGCCAAGTCTAGTACTGTATTTTTTTCTAGTGTGAATGTGTTTAGGTGCACAGGTACTTAACACTGTGCCTTGAGGATTCAGTGCAGTCACATGCTTTAGGTTTTGACTGTACTACACGGCCTAAATGTGTAGAAATGATATCTGGTGGGTTTACTGGTGATAGTAGAGCACACTGTGCAAGTGCACTGCCCCTGTGCCATTGTGTCACGGTGTGCATGCACCCTTCCACCCTGTGTACATGTGCACCATCCTGGTCAACATGGTGTACACCGCCCACATCACCATGGTGTGACAGCACACGTGTACACTGCCCCTGTGCCATAGTGTTAACAGGGTGCGTGCACGCTGTCCACGTCATCATGATATAACACTGTGTGTCTCAGAACAATCCCTGGTTTTTAGTGTTCATACTTGTCAGTGAGTAAAATTAGCTAATTTCCAAAGGTAAAAATGCTAACTTTTTGTCTACCCTTGTGTCTCATGCTTGTAATATTTGCTACTTAAAAGGCTGAAGTCCAGAGGTTTGATGTTTGAAGCCAGCCTGAAAACGCTATACAGCTCCATCTCCAAAATAACAAGTAAAAAGCCAGGCTGGAAATGTGGCTCACATGGTACAAGTGGTAGAATACCAGTCAAGCAAGCAAGCTAAGCAAGTGCCAGGGCTGAGTTCAAACCCTATTATCCCATTACTGGCATGCATGCATACCTAAATTAGCTAATTTTAGCATCGTATAAAGCCTTGGTCTTTTTATTGCTAATCCTTATATACCCTTTCATAAGAGCCCCACTTTATGTTGGGGTTGAAAGTACAGGTACTTGGACCATAGCCCAAAATACTCTTGACATACAATAATTCTTACACTTTTTAATGTTTCATCAAAATATGCTATGCTGATACTAGCAACCTATTTCTAAGGTAAATTCACATTGATTTTTAAGGTTAGGTTTGGGGTCTTGAGGATTATTTTACAGTCATCTTTTAATTATTTCCATGTAGTTTTTCAGATGTGTGATCTCTGTTCATCTTAAACATTTTTGCAAACCTGAGCTTTACCTGCCTTGTAAAAGTTGAATCATGTTTGTTTTGTCACTAGCTCTACCCTGGCATCTGAAGGTCAGGATATCTGTTCCTTTTTTCCTGGGCTTCTCTGGTTTCAGTCCATCTGGTCCCTTTCTTGTGTTCCCTTGGCTTCTCTGTATCCTGCTCCTCCTGGCTTGGTGTTTATGTTTATTGTTATTGACCAAACACAATGAACATGTTTTCACATATTTCTGTTCTGGCTACAAAATTGAACAAATTTATGATAAAGCTTATTTTTTTAGCATGGAAATAGCTAATTTTTTTGGGGGGGGGCGGTCGTGGGGCCTGAACTCTGGGCCTGGGTGCTGTCCCTCAACTCTTCACCTCAAGGCTAGCGCTCTACCACTTGAGCCACAGCGCCACTTCCACCTTTTTTTTTGCTTATGTGGTGCTGAAGAATCGAACCCAGGGCCTCAGGCATGCAAGGCAAGCGCTCTTTCACTGAGCCACCTTCCCAGCCCCGGAAATAGCTCATTTCTTAACGTAGCTTTTGAAGATACCAAATTTGTAAAGAAGTAAAACATTTTTGACTTGATTTTGAATCATGGATGGCAATATCAGTCTTTTCTATTCCTATTTCTTGCTAATTTGCCTTCCTATTTGGTTGACAATTTTCTGTACTACTTACAAAACTATAGAATGAAGTGTTTGTGGAAAGAAAATGAGAGTAGGTTAAGTGAGGGGCTCCATGACTGCGTATGCTAAAGAGCCCCAATCCCAGAACCTCCTCACAACAATTGCATTTGCTCACGCACTGTGGAGTCTCCAATTGTATGTCATCAGATGCTAACCCTAGGCACTTTCAGCCCAGTTCACTACTGAGTCTCAGAAAAAATTATGAATACTTTTAATTCAGCTGAATTTGCCAGCATCACTATAACAAATACACACCAGATTATAACCTAAATTAGAGCCTCAGACTGTGCCACATGTAATTTTTGGTAGGCCTTCAAAAAGCTCATATTAATTAACCACGTAAAGTTAATAATATTGCACACATTCTATTTTTAAAATAGTTTTTACTCTCCTTTGTGAGCACCCACACCTCCGTTAGAGTGAGCCTCTGCCTTTCTCCTTGTCTGCTTGTCTGTCTGCTTGTTGCTTATTCAGTAAAGCTCTGCCAAATTTTCTTATTTAAAAAAAAATAGCCTGGCAGTACTGACTCATACCTGTAATCTAGCTACTCAGGTTGCTGAGATCTGAGAATCAAGGTTCGAAGCCAACCAGGGCAGAAAAGTCCCCGTGAGACACTATCTCCAGTTAACCACTCAAAAACAGCTAGAGGAGCTGTGTATCAAAGTGGTAGAGCACTAGCCTTGAGCAAAAGAGCTCAGGTCAATCAGGGATAGCACCTAGGCCCTGAATTCAAGTCCCACAACAGAGAAAGAAAAAGAAAGGATGGGAGGGAGGAGGAAGGGAGGCAGGGAGGGAGGGAGGGAAAGGAAAGATTCCCAAAGCCTTTGGGTCCTGGAAGTCACTGACATATACAAACAGCATTTCCCACAATAGAGAGAGAGAGAAGGGAGGGAGGGAAGGAAGGAAAGAAGGAAGGGAATTAGTTCTTTTTGTACGGGACTAGAAAATTCCCAAAGCCTTTTGTCCTAGAAGTCACTGACATATACAGACAACATTTCCCAGACCTTTAAAAAGCAAGACCAGGCTTTTAGAAAAGATTGTTGACATGCAGCCATTCTGACAAGATGTGTCTAATTTTTCAAAATATCCTGAGCATATACTGTTTTCAAAGATGTTTAACTCATTTTTAGAACAGAGTCCCTTAAAAGAAATTTGTGTAGCACCAGGATGTAATGTGATTCTGAAAGGAGTCTCTTGTGAAACCAAAGTGCCTCAAAAGTTGTTGGTGGCACTTTGGCGGTGTGATTTTGCCGTGCTCCGCAGCAGTTCCCGTGCTGATCAAGGCTCTGCAAGCTCACACCTTTCCTCACAAGTAGGACTTGGCTGGCTTTTTTCACTCTCTCACAAGGCGCAGCCTTGTCTTCCAGACAGAGCCCGTGTGAAGCCTGCCTACTCAGCAGGCTGATACAGGAGCAGATAGGAGACTCCCTGCCTCCTGCTGAGCTCGAGATGACATTTTTATCACTCTTAGTTCTCTGTAAACCCATATGCTACTAGATTCTGACCTTGTTGTTTTTAAAGGCATTAATAATTTAAATTATTTAAGATTTTCTTAGTCTTTGTTTCTAATAATGTTAAAATGCTAGCAGAAATATCCTATTTGAAAAGAGTTCATTTCGCAGCGTAAGGATGCTGGAGCTTCCAAAACACCCCTGTCTTTTGGATGTGGCAGCTTGCTCACTCCCTTCTCATGACAAATTTTGCTTTTCTCATTCTTGGTTTTTGTTTTTTCCATTTTGTTTTCATTTCAAACACATTGTAGCAGCTACTCAAGACCATCCTGTATCCACCTCCTGAGTTACACCCACATCAGGACAATTCTTAAGTTCTTTGATTGCCTGAAAATGCTAAGCTTAATAAAAATATCCTAATTATTTTCATTCCTCATCTAAATGTATAACATCTTAATTTTCAGGTTGAAAGTACAAAAAAGCACTGTGAGGTACAGATTTCTCAAATAATGGAAGAACTCTCAGCTCTTCGAATGGTATGCCAGAAGACTGAATATTTCCTCTAAATAATAATTTGGGGTCACAAGGTAGAAGCTCACTTTAAAATTTTGAAACTTGGTTTAAGGCATGACTCCAGCAGTAGAGCACTTGCCTGGCAAGTGTGAGACCCTGCTTTCACTCCCCAGTTACCCTCCCCCACAAATTAAATGACATTAAATAGACTTTTTCTATGAAGACTGGAAACGCTGATTGAATAATATCAGTAGTACATTTGTCAGCAGGGCAGGCTCACCCAGAGCATGAGCCACAATTAGTAAAGAGAAATAGTTGTACTCATTATCAGAGATAAATACAAAATAACAACTAATTGTGAAGAACTCTTCATTGGAATGATTTTTAGCTTTTAGTATCACCAGCAGAGTACTAAATTTTATTGATTAGTTGAGATATATTTTATAAATTTACTGATTAAAACTTTTAAGCAGGCAAGCCTCAGTGGCTCACACCTGTAACCCTACCTGCTCAGGAGGCTGAGGTCGAAGGATTCAGCGGGGACAGAAAATTCTGAGAGGCCTTTAGCTCAACCACCCAAAGCCAGAAGCAGAGGCGTGGCTCAACTGGCAGAGCACCAGCCTTGAGCAAAAAAAGCCACACAGGAGCACGAGGCCACAAAATAAATAAAACTTTTTCAGCATAAATGTTTTGTGCCCAGGCCAATAAAGAATGTTAGGACTTTTGCTTGTGTGCACATTTAAGCCGTGTGCTTCCCTTGGGTCACTTTCCAGTCTGTGTAGTTTCTGACGGCCTGGCTCAGGTAGCTCTGTCACTACTATGTCACTACCTTGTTGACCAGGTACATGTGATACTGGTTACAGACAAAGCATTTTATTCTGTCTCTCCCATTTTTAGTAGTTTTACCAAATGTATTTATTTGCATTGTGACTTGAATTTATAGGAATGTGATGAAAAACAAGGCCAAATCGAACGAGCCATTAGGGGGAAAAAGGCTGTGGAAGAAGAACTAGAAAAGGTAAAAAGGAAAAGCAAATGTAGCTACCAAAACCAAGTTCAGATACTCAGAATCACTGTCTGCCCCATCACACTGTCTACTAGCCACCCTTACATTTATAAGGGCCCTCCTGGTAAGTGTTTTCTATTTTCTTTCTCTTTTTCTTAAACACGTTTATTAGCATCAACTAGTTATATGAGGGAGTTTTATTTCAGACATGTCCATATGTGCATAAAATGTATTTTGAAGCAGACACATTCATTTTTACATTTTTGGAATATATTCAGTGTCTATTTAAATAAATAGCATGGCCTGAATACATTTCTTTCCAAGAATAACTGTATTTGTAAATAATAAAAATAAATCCTAAGGCTTAAACTCAGAGCCTGGGCTCTGTCCCTGAGGTGTTTTTTGGTTTTTGTTTTGGTTTTTTTTCATCATGACCAGCACTTTACTACTTGTGATAGAATGTTAGTTAAATGGAAATGAGAGTCTCACTAACTTTCCTGCCCAGACTGACTTCCAACTGATCCCAAGATCTCAGCCTCCTAGAATTACTGGTTTTGAGCAGCTGGTGCCAAGCAAAGACATATCTTTTATAAAATACTGCTGTTCCTTGCTAAAAGCTTATTTTATCTTTTCTTTTTGAGTTTTATACCAATTCTTACTGGGATTAGGCCATCTGTAAATTGTTGCCGTGATTTTAAGGACCTCCGTCCCAGCTAGACGTTACCCAGGTGGAAGTGTATCTGGGATCACTTGCAAACAGTTCTTTGTTTTTTAAATGTTGCATTAGAGAATTGAAGGCTGGTCATCAAAGAATGGCTGCTGGTTACTTTTATTTGGTTTGTGTTTTGTTTATGTTCATTCATTTTCTGGTACCATCCCTTAAACCATGATTGCTAATTAATTGGAGACAAAATCTCTGTAGACTTTGCTGCCCTGGCTAGCTTCAAACCTCAGTCCCCCAGATTTCAGCCTCCTAAGTAGCTAGAATTACAGGTGTGAGTCACTGGTACCCAGCACCATTGGTTATCTTTAAAGACAAGACAGTGTTTTAGCTTCAGCTGCTTTACAATTTTATTTTAATAGTTCATAGTAGGAATGAATAATTTGAAAAAATTCACCATTATGTTTAGGTTTTCAGCACTTTATTTTGTAAGATTGAACAACCTGCTACTTGTGGATGTGTCTCGTAGCAGACGAGCACATGATGGCTGATGACTGCCATTTCTCCCACTGGTTTCGTTTACTAAACGGAAGAGTGTGTAAAGGCATTATCCTTCCATAAGCTCACAGACTGCCAGCCTTTCCACAGGCCTACCGTGAAGGCAGAGGGAGTGAAGAGGACTACAGAAAGCTGGAAGAGATGCACCATAGATGCCTTGCTGCAGAGCGCTCAAAAGATGACCTTCAGCTGAGCCTAAAGAGAGCGGAAAACAGAATAAAGCAGCTTGAAATTAAGTATGTTTTCTTTAGCATTTCCTGTGATGCATCTTCACAAACCGCATGATTTTGGGTGGGTTTTCTTGTTTAGTGTAGGATTCTTAAATTGAAAACACCAAATATAGTTTTTTCACACTAATCATGAGTATTTCTGAAAGCTAATTTTTTCAGGAAGAAAATTGCAGTAGTATACTATTGATTTTAAATTTATAGTTTCTAGAAGTTAGAGTATTAGATTATTTTTTATACTATAGGTAACTATATTATTGGACTTATTAAGTATTGCTTTTTTTTTTTCTGTTTTCTTGTCGGTCATGGAGTTTGAACTCTGGGCCTGAGCGCTGTCCCTCAGCTCTTCAGCTCAAGGCAAGTGTTCTACCATTTGAGCCACAGCACCAGTTCTGGTTTTCTAGTGGTTTATTGGAGGTAAGGGTCTCAGGGACTTTCCTGCCTGAGCTGGCTTTGAACCGCAATCCTCAGATCTCAGCCTCCTGAGTGCCAGACTTAAGTATTGCTTTTGTCTTGTTTATATTGAGTATATTTATTTTGGTATTGAGTAGTCGGTAATAACCCATCATTTTTAATTATTATCTATTAAACTGATAAGCTTATAGTGCATCAGTTGCATCAGTCTGGCATGTCAATTCTGGATGGTTTTGTGTTGTTTCTTGTGCTAGTGCGGAGCTTGGTCTTAGTACCTGAAACTCCCACTCACCTTTCTTGATCACTACTCCTACTCTAGAGCTTGAGCCTTCACTCCAACATTTTTCTGCTTAATTGGGGATGGAATCTTGCACACTTTCTGCCTGGGCTGGCTTTGAACTTCAGTCCTCTGTATCGCAGTCTTCTGAGTAGCTAAAATTATAGGCTTGAGCCACTGGCACCTGATTTGCTTAGGGGTTTGTTTTTTTTTTAAGCTTTTCATGTTAAACTTAACATTTACTTGGGACAGTAAAAACTTATTTAGATTGCTTGAATTCTCAATATTTATACATGGTTTTCAGATTTGTTTTATAATGAAAACAATTTTATTTCTCTGAAGTATATATTAATATCTAAGCTAGTTAATCTTTTTTCAAAAGGAGATTTTGCAAATTTGCTTCATAAATACAATGTATAATTTTCAGTGATCTCTTCAGATAGTCTCATGATTCCTTCTAAAGAACACAGGTGGGAGAAACTGACTTTTCCATGAGGAATTTTCTTAAGCGCAGTAAGTGCTGCATGCGCCTGCCCTTAGGTTGGTGTTGAGTAGAGACATCCCACAGGTGTTCTCAGTTACACGGTAGCTCTGAATTAAGTGAAAAGAGAAGTCAGTGAAACTTCAAGAAACTTAACAATCATAAAGTTTTGGTCCAGGGAAAATTCTCACGTATTTCCTAGAGGGTGTAGGCACGGAAAACGTCTTACTTTCTCTCATTCCTAAATGTGCATTTCTAGAATGAACCTGCTGTTTTCTTTCATATCTAGAGAAAACTGAAAACTTTCTCACTTCCTTGCATTCTTGAAGCTTATTTTTATTTTCATGTTTACACTTTTTTTTCAGAGATAAGGAAGAAATGAATTTGGGTGACCATTGCTCTTGTCTGTAATCCTAGCTACTCAGGAGGCTTAGATCTGAGGATCACAGTTCAGAGCCAGCCCGGGCAGCAGAGTCCATGAGACTCTTATCTCCAGTTAAACACCAGAAAATCACAAGTGGCACTTTGGCTCAAGTGGTAGAGCGCCAGCCTTGAGCTAAAGAGCTCAGGGACAGCGCCCAGGCCCAGAGTTCAAGTCCTATGACCGAACAACAAAAAAAATAAAAATGAAAAAAAAACCAAGAAAATGAATATTTGTCTAATTTGAGGGGAATTTGGTGTTGCTGCCTTGGATGAGTGGTGGCAGTTCAATTCAGCTGCGCGTGGGAGCAGAGACTCTGTTCTGATTTGCTCTCCTTCCACCAGTTCCTCAGAAGAGATAACACGTTCCCATGAGATGATTCAGACCCTTCAAACTGTAATCGAGTCTGAAAGAGAGAACTGTGGACGCGTCAGTGAACAGAGACTGAGACTTCAGCAGGAAAATGAACAGTTACAGAAAGAGACTGAGGAGTTAAGAAAGATTGCATTGGAAGCTCAAAAGAAGGCCAAATTAAAGGTATTTTTAAGACCATAGTCATATATCCTGGGAAAATAACAGTACAGAAAATATTTAGAGAGACCTAGTGAAACATTGTAAGGCCTTTTTTGTCTTATCAGATAGTATTAAATCATAATTCAAAATATTACCAGTCATTTCTATATGTGAGAACTTGGCAAGCCTACTTTACCGTAAGTGCTTTCCCTGTCTTCCACAAACACAAACAATTCTTTCCTACCCTCTTTCTCTCCACACACACACACACTTCTGCAGTCCTGTCAAAATCATTTAAGCATCATTAGCAAAATGATTAGATAACTTCATAAAATGCCTTTTTCCCTTGCCCTCATCCTGTTACAGCTTCGCAAACCTTGATCTTCTCCCAGACTTCCTCTAAGAGGACCTTGTACCAGTATGCTTTAGTCTAAAGACACCATGGCAGGAAGAGGAGACAGAACAAAAGTTTTGTCTTAAAAAACATCGTTCTCACCTGGTGCCAGTGACTCACACCTGCAACCTAGCTGCTCAGGAGGCTGAGATCTGAGGATCGTGGTTCAAAGCCAGACCAGGCTAGAAAGTCCAGTAAACTATCTCCAATAAACTATCAGAAAATCAGAAGTGGCACTGTGGCTCAAGTGGTAGAGCACTTGCCTTGCACTGAAGAGCTAAGGGACAGTGCTCAGGCCCAGAGTTCAAGCTCCTTGACAGTCAAAAAAAAAAAAACTACCTCTCTCTCATTTAACTCCTTTTTCCGCCTTTCTGATGCACTTACTGCTTTGGTGGTAAGGAACACATTGCCGTAATTAAGTTGCTTTCAAGAAACATAGGCTCTCCCTGTCTGTCTTCGTTACCTTTCTCCATTCCAGGAAATTTTTGTAAAGAGTGGTTCTTTGGTGCATTTGTAGCTCACACCTATAATCCTAGCTACTCAGGAGGCTAGATCCTACTAACATGGTTCAAATCCAGCTCAGACAGGAAAGTCCATGACTTTAACTTTACAAAGTACTTCCAGAAACAATGTGAACATTAACATAGAAATAAAAATGGCTTGAATAAAGACCTAAGTCTGAACATGAACACTGGATTCTGGCAACAGAAGTAAGTGGAGATAAAAAGCAATTTTAGATTACATAGAATATATCTTCTCTGCTGACATATTGAAGAGATGCATTTTTTGAAGCATTACAAAAAAATTAATCATCATGATTTCTAGTTTTGCAAAATTTATGTTATAGGTTAAATCTTCATGATAAAGACTGATTATAATCTTAATTTCTTTTTTTTTGTCGGTCATGGGGCCTGAACTCTGGGCCTGAGCGTTGTCCCTCAGCTCTTCAGCTCAAGGCTAGCGCTCTACCACTTGACCCACAGCACCACTTCTGGCCTTTTCTGCTTATGTGGTGCTGAGGAATTGAACCCAGGGCCTCATGCAAGGCAAGCACTCTACCACTGAGCCACCTTCCCAGCCCCTGTAATCTTAATTTCTTACATAGATTTCTTACCCAAACATTTCTGAATTTTAGACAGCACAGTTACTTATTCTTCTTGTATACATTTATCAGTAGAGCTCCTAAACTAATACTAATTTTTTCCCTTAGATCAGTACAATGGAGCAGGAATTTTCAATAAAGCAGCATGGGTTTGAAGTTCAGTTGCGGGAGATGGAAGACAGTAATCGAAATGTTACTACTGAGCTGAGGCATCTCTTAATAACTCAGCAGAAAGCAGCCAACAGGTGGAGGGAAGAAACCAAGAAACTGACTGAAAGTTCAGAGATTAGAATCAGCAGTTTAAAGTAAGTCCACTCAGTAATTGCTTAATGATTGGTTATGGGAGGGTAGGAAGGCCTTGTTTTGGTTTTTTTTTTTTGGGGGGGGGGGTTCAGTCATGGGGCTTGAACTCAGGGCCTAGGCGCTGTCCCTCAGCTTTTTTGCTCAAGACTAGCACTCTACCACTTTGAGCCACAGCGCCACCTCAAATTTTCTGGTGGTTAGTCGGAGTTAATCGTCTAATAGACTTTCCTGCCTGGGCTGGCTTTGAACCACAATCCTCAGCTCTCAGCCTCCTGAGTGTTTGGGGTTACAGACAGAAGCCACCAGCGCCTGCTTGGCTATGTTTTATAAAAGAGAATATTGAAGCCTGTGGTTTGATGTTCCTGCTATATATATATAATCTTCTTATAGAAAAGTATAATTCTGGATCTTATATATTTTTTTGGGGGGTGTCCGGTCGTGGGGCCTGAACTCTGGGCCTGGGCGCTGTCCCTCAGGTCTTCAGCTCAAGGCTAGCGCTCTACCACTTGAGCCACAGCACCACTTCTGGCCTTTTTCTTTTTGCTTATGTGGTGCTGAGGAATCGAACCCAGGGCCTCAGCCGTGCAAGGCAAGCGCTCTACCACTGAGCCACCTTCCCAGCCTGTTGTACTTATATTTTTATTTAGCAAATACTTATTAAACTACAAAAAAATTAATCAAAATAAATTCTGTATATTTTATATTTCACACATTTCATAAACACATGAAGATACAGCATGTATAATATTTTGTCTGATAAATGTAAAAAGGCTGCTCTCTAGTACTGTTAGCAAAGCTGTTGAACACTTCATCAGAAAAAATGTGGACTTTGTGGTAAATGAATGGGAGCCTCTGGCTGTGGGATGGGAACGCCCTGGAAGACTATTAGAGTGTCTATCCTAAGTGTTCAACAAATGACTTTTTTCTTTTTTCTGTCAAGCATGGGTCTTGAACTCAGGGCCTGGGTTCGGTCCCTAAGCTTTGTTGCTCAATGCAAGTGCTTTACCACTTTGAGCCACAGCTCCACTTCCAGTTTTTAGGTGGTTAATTGGAGAATTTGGTGGACTTTCCTGACTGAGGATGATGGTTTGAGCAACTAATTTTGTGATCTTTTCAAATTCTTTTATTTAAAATATATTAATCCTTGGCCATATGTAGTGGTGTATATTTATAATCTCAGCATTTGGGAGGTTGAGAAAAGAAAGTCACAAGTTTGAGGCCAGCCTTCAGAGTGAGTAGTAGTGAAACCCTATCTCAAAAAAAAGAAAAGAATGTCCTCTTACATGATCTTTATCCCTGTCAGAGCCTGCGCCGCTCTTCCTCCAGTACTGCGCCTCACCTGTGCAATTGTCCATCATAGGACATTTACAACATTGCTTACTGTTATGCCCTTACATGTGTCCAGTTACATTTATCATATCTCCCAGTGTTCTTATAACTCCAGGTGGTTTTAGAGGCAGAGGCAGGACCATCACATCCAAGGCCAGTCCTAGAAAAGGTCAGGAAGTCAGTCCCTTTCTCAGAAACAACCCAGTGTGGAAGCCCACGCCTGTTGTCCCCACTGATTGGGAGAGAAAGACAGAAGGACAGCAGTCAAGTCCAGTACCTAGCAAAAATTCAAGACTTTCTCTGAGAAAAGGACTGGGGACAGAAGGTCTCGAGACATGGTTTAAATGGTAGAACCTCTGCCTAGCAAACAACAGGCCCTCCTTGAATTCAATCTCCAGTATTGCTAAAAAGCAAGTTTATTTTTTAGTGGAATCTCCATAAAGGGACTTTGAAGTCCCTTTATAACAAGAAATTAGTATTTCTAGTTTAAAGATGAAAGTAATGTACTACGCATCCAGTGCTTTACAACAGCTGTTAGGTAACGGCCCGCCAGTGGTAACAGAGAGAGCGGCACAGATGTGAGAACGTGTTTCAGCACTGGCGGACGCCCCGCCGCCCTCAGCTGGTTACCGTGTGCACACTTGAAAGCCGAAGGAAGCAGAGCATCCCGCGTCACAAGCTCGAGGCTAGCCTGTGCTCCGTAGTGAGAGCCGCCTTAAAATCCCAAGATTGAAAAATACCCAGCTCTCATTTGAATCTTCATTCTAAAGTAGATGAGTAGTAAATAGGACAAGGTAAGTGTAATATGTGATTAGTAATTATAAGTACTAAAGAGACAAATCAGGCAGAAAGAGCATAGGATACATTTATCTTTGAAGGCACACCGTTGTTAAGGTTACAAATCTCTGCCCTTCTGCTTCCTTGTCCACAGGCAGCCTGATTAAGTACAACGCATTATCCTCTCTGTCCCTTCTGCTCCTCAGCCTACGGTGGCTAGAAACACATGCAGCCTTCCTGTGTGGTCGCGTGCTCCTGCAGGACTTGCAGAGCGCCTGCCTTCACAGGCGCACTGCTCCAACTTGGGACTCCAGCACTAAAAAGCCATAGATTCACATAATAAGCCTGTAAAGCATGGAGCAGTTGCTCTGTGTATTCTTTCCCTGCTGACTTTTCTCTCCTCTCTCCTCCAACCTCCCGTAGCTCCTCCCGTAGCTCTGTTAGTTGAGACACTCGGAGAGAGAATGCCTCCTTTGCCTGTCTGACTTCACATTCTTCCATGTCCTGGTGCCTGTTCCTCTGCAGTGTGTGTCCTGCTCCATTCAAAACCAGACTCTGTG